TCTGGCTGAAGTTACTTCCGTACAGAAACCCTCAATGTAATTATTCAAGCAAGTTGATCGGACTGGATTCTTATAACACATCCTATAAAATTTCATGGACATAGTATATGCCTATATCTAAAAATAACTAGAATGAAAACAATAAACAATTCCTAATTAGTCTGTCAGCAATATATATGCGTTACGAGTCCTAACGCAAATTCTGCCACGAACATTAAGCACAAGTGCGGTAAGACGAAATTAACAACCATTTTATTCTATGTGCAGTAAATTAGCATTCAGTTCATACAGGAAATTAAATTCACGAAAAGAAATCGGGGTTGCAAAATGAGAATGGAGCTACACATTCAAACTGTCTTTTCACGTAGAACTCGTGCTTCCCACAATAACTTATCACGCAACTGTTAAAAGTCTTTTGACAAAGATTCATCGTCCAAGGTCTAAGACATCTTTAATGAAAAGTGTTTTTGGGACTTGGGTCTACTCTTACGTCTTGTCATTACAGGGTCTACTGATACTTTTTATTTTATAAAAAATAGTTGCGACAGCTGGAGTCAAACCCGGTAGCTTCTAAATACTAGGCAATGACCACTGGAAGTGTGTAAATAATGCCGATGTTGGTCTTCTGTATTGTAACACCGTGTGGACTTGCAGGTAGACACAAACGCTTCAGACGAAAATACTGCCTCCATCTTTAGGGCTGAAGATATTGTAAGTTGCAATTCAGAATATCAACATCGGCAACTTCATCGCCGTGAGAATTTTAAACCCCAATTTCAAATAAATCCGTGTTCTAAATGCTTACGCTAACGTCAACATTTGCTTTGGGCGCACTCTGAGATTTTACTGCTGGACGCGAATGACAAAGTGGGTCCAATTCATTCACAAAAGCCGCTTCTAGATCAAATGGCTGTGGTTCTCCTAATAAGTGGCCAATTCAACTTCATGGATTTAATTACCTGTGAGTGTCCAATTAGTGTCTAAGTGCGTTTGTTTGGTATAATAATTGTAAAATGGGAGATGATCAGATTCTATACACAAAATTTAGAGCCATAGGCGTATAATCAGTGTTTTATACAGTGAAAACATAAATGTCAATCTATATTATTTAATAAAATAACCTCATGGACCGCACAGTAAATTGCCTCTTGACACTAATCAGATTTGTGGTCTCTCCAGGCAAATCAGGGCATAGTATACAATCCCTGAATCTAAAGTGCATAATATAGAGCCTATGCCTGTCAGTCCGCACGTTTGTCTCCGAAACGACCAACTCAATTCGATCAAATTTAATACTCTGAGTGTACACTGGAGATTTACAACTAATTGTCTGCATTACACGAATCTCATATCGAGATCTATCAGAGACTTTCTCATGTGTACACTTCCTTACATTTCTCGAGACAAAACATTTAGGTGGACAGTATTCTTTTTTCGGTGCTTTCGTGACTTTAGTGTGTTACATACAAACGTACGAACTTATCTTTTGGGCTTAAACAGCACACCACGATGCCAAATGTGACCACGTAGGTAAAGTTTTACGTACTGTCAGCTTTGGTACAAGGTGGAGGTAAGTATTTTGCAATAGACTCCGGTCGGTTTATCCCGAGGGCACCCACTTGAATCGCATCACTTAAATGTTGTAAAATAATA